GGGAGTAGCACAATGTACTCTGGTTTCCCCAAGGGAATCACTGCGTTTTCATTGTAAAATGCAAGGTTTACCATCTCACTTGGCACATGCAAGAATGAGATATTCAGGGCAAATAGAATAAAATCCTTTTCCCACTAAAGAACAGATGTTGGAAGTGTTACTTGACAAATGTACAAGTGAATCTGTCCATAAACATGACCATCAGTGAAAAGAACAAAAAGATAGCAAATCTTACGCATGTAAAACCAGTCAGATATTTATCGAATGGTCTTGTATTCAAGACAACCAGCTTACCGGAGATCTCCAATTCGTCCCAGTGAGACTTTTTACCGTTGGCCACCTCATCTGCCGACATGATGGTGTAAATTCTACGAGGATCAGGCGGGTCATATTTTTCTTTTGGCATCCCTGTTAGTCTAGAAAGAAGGAAAGAAATAAAGTCAGTAAAGATCCCCTTCCACATGAGCAACATAGTAGCACTTGTACAAATGCTTGTGAAACTTGTGGGGTCAGTAAGAAATCCCCTCCCCTCCCTATAAAAAGGCAGATTTCAAGAGTTCTTTAGCTGCCACAGGTCCAATTCAACCCCTGTTGTGTTAAAGCTATAGCCCTGCAAGCAGCAGAGCTAATGCTCCCTGCTTATTGTAGGGCTTTTTGTCTGACTTAGCAGGGGGCATCAGACTTTTGCAGAGACACCACTGCTTCTACAGCAAGGTTCCTACACTACACCATGATGGCAGTGGACAGGGTTTTTTTCACAGTAGGTGGATTTCTTAAGGAAACAAAAACGAAGACGTCGCACACTTTGTTTTAATGCACCTGGAATGCAAACTTAAACTCAAAAGCTCAGCTGGGCTTTAAGACCCAACTTTGGGCACTAAACCCTTACCAGGTAAAAAAATGTTTTTTTGCCTAAAACACAGCCCCATATCATGCAGACTTGTTTGATCTCCTCCTCCTCGTCGGAATGCAGGAAGTGATGTTTATTACATCACTTCCGTATTCCTCTTTCACTCTCCGGCACAGAAACCGGAGAGAAGCTGGTGAAGCAGGTCTCTGCTTCACCAGCTTCTCTGGGGGTCCCTAGGTGACATTAGGTGTTAGGTGACCTGATGTCCCCATAAAGAGGACCTGTCACTGCAAATTGGCTATCACTTAGGGAGCTTGTTTTCTCCCTATGTGATAGCAATAAAGTTAAGTGAAAAAAAAAAAGTTACAAAAAATTAAAGTTACAAAAAAAAAAAAAATTAAGTTACATATCAAATTATTTTTTTTAAAAAAATGTAAAATTAAAGTCCCCAGCCCCCACACGCAAACATGCGTCGAGCCCGCCTACGTGCGAAAAAGACGATTATATCCATTGCGCCGCACACGTTACATATCGCCGCCAACGTCGGAGTGAGAGCAATAATTCTAGGGCCATTAATCACCGATAACACTAAACTGATGAGCAGTAAAAGCTTTTAAAGCGTCGGCTATGGTCAATTTTGGGCATGGTATTTTTTTGCGATTTTTCAGCGGGTGCGCACGCAATTTTAAAGCTTAACATGTTTGGTGTCTATTTACTCGACTTGTATTTTACCAAAAAAATGGGTAATAAATGTTTTATAACAACGTAGGGAGAACAGGTTTTTTTTCCTCAATTTTCGGTACTATTTTAATTTTTTCATTATATCGTAACACCCCCCCATTCGTAAATGTCCTCAGACATTTTTTTTTTTGGCCATGGTTCTTTAACTGCCTACGTGCGAAAAAGACGATTATATCCATTGCGCCGCACACGTTACATATCGCCGCCAACGTCGGAGTGAGAGCAATAATTCTAGGGCCATTAATCACCGATAACACTAAACTGATGAGCAGTAAAAGCTTTTAAAGCGTCGGCTATGGTCAATTTTGGGCATGGTATTTTTTTGCGATTTTTCAGCGGGTGCGCACGCAATTTTAAAGCTTAACATGTTTGGTGTCTATTTACTCGACTTGTATTTTACCAAAAAAATGGGTAATAAATGTTTTATAACAGCGTAGGGAGAACAGGTTTTTTTTCCTCAAAATTTTCGGTACTATTTTAATTTTTTCATTATATCGTAACACCCCCCCATTCGTAAATGTCCTCAGACATTTTTTTTTTTGGCCATGGTTCTTTAACTCTTTCGCTGTCAGGCCCTGCGCTCCACTTTAAGGCCCCGTTCACATAGAGCGATTTATCGCGCGGTAATACAATGCTTGGCAATGGGGCAAAGTGTCCTGCGGTCGTGGGTTGTGCGTCGCTACAGCAGGACCCTTTTTTGGAGCGGATTTTGCCGCGATTCCAGCTTGCTCAATGCAAGCATTTGCTCGATATCGCGCGAAATTCAAATCGCACAAAATGCAAATCGAGCAGTGTGAATGGGGCCTTAACCAGACAGGGGGTTCCTATCGCCAGACACCCAGGACATGCACAGTGGGGAAGCGTCCGCTCATTTTGTAGAAGTGATCTGGGTGGCTGTAAAGCTACCCTGATCACTTGTAGCAGCCTGCTTGTCTGTCTGCCCCTGAAGTCTTTTGGGGTCCCCCGGCAAAGATTTCAGCACGGGGAGCAGACGGGAGAACGTTTGCTGTGATCAGAGACAGGAGCGCGGTAGTCACAGCTCTTCCTGTCTCAGCTGTTGGGTTGTACAGAAGATGGAGCACAATTGCTCTATCTACTGTATTGGAGGGCAGGCTCCATACAGAGAGCCTGTTACCTCCAAACGCCATCACATATGGACTTGTTATCCCCTGTGTGATAGCAATAAAGTTAAGTGGAAAAAAATAAATAAAATGGTGATAAAGTAAAAAATAACAGTTATACGCATCCGAACCTTGCAGTTGGCTTGCTGTTACAATGCTCCCTTCTGCCTCTCTCCTCTTCCGCTGCAGCGATTGAATGTCCCGCGGCACATCCCTTACATAGTATATTGGACATAATGATCCTTACGCCGCTGAAGCAGAGTGTGAGGGGCTGCAAGGACAGGTCTAACATGCAGCTGGCTCTGAGGATCAGGTGAGTATAACTTGCAACAACAACTTTACGCCTAGACCAAAACAAGTGCTTAAAAAAAAAAAAAAAAAAACAAAAGTCTGAGGTGAGTGATTTTCGCTCATCCTCATTAGTTTGAGCCGACCTGTGACAATAAAACGGTCACATGTCGGCTCAATAGATCAGGAAGTGAGAAAACGCATACCGTCGCTCGCTCACTTCTTGATCATCCCCTGCAGGGGCAGTCACTCACGGCTCCCCGCAGGGGTTCTCCCCTCCCCGATCCTCCAGTGCTGACTGACGGAACGGACGGGGCAGGTACAGCTGGCTCTGCGCCTAGATAGGCAGAGCCATCTGTCACTCACACAGCTCGGTGGATCTCGACAGTAATGTCGGGATCCATCCCGACTGCGGCGCTCTCAGTATATCGCGGGCAATAGCTTGCAATATATTGAGCTTTGGGTCACGGGAGGAGGTTAGTATATGTTCTCCTATGACCCTTAAGAGAACTATGGGGAAAAACACTTACCCCATAGTTCTCTTTTAAGTTCGCATTTTGGTTTAGAAGCGAAGATATACTCACCTGAAGCTCGGTCCTGTGGCAGCGACTGCTCACCTCTCTCCCCCTCTGATCTAGCTGTGGTTTGTCCCTTGGCATCCTCACAGCTAATGGACCTGCATTAGACATCATGGGTCCTTAGATCACCGGAGCCTGAGGGAGAAGAGATTGCAGGGACAGGTCTAGAAGTAATATATGTAGCTGTAGCTTGCGATATACTGAGCTTTGGGTCATGGGAGGACGCTAGTTTATGGCCTCCCGTGACCCTTAGGATAACTATGGGGAAAAACACTTAACCACATAGCTCTTTTTTTTAACCCTTGCAGTGCGGTATCCCCAGCAATAAGCTTTTGAAGCGCGAACTGCACTTCAAAAGCTTATTTAAAAAAGGGAAAAAGGTGAGACTAGGGGTATTTTGAACCCCAGTATCACGTTAAAGAGTACCTGTCACTGCCAAAATGCGTCATAACAAACAGGCATCGGGTGCGCCTAACTAGGAAAACTATGATCTTGCTACACGTTAGGCATCGTCGCCCACGCCAGAGAGCAATAATTCTAGGGACAGTATTTAGGGCTTTTAAAGCATTGTGTATGGACTTTTTGGGGTACTGAATTTTATCCCGGTTTCACAGACGCACCAAATTTTTAGCCAGGGCATGTATTTACTTGTTGTAACCTCATCTTTTAAATTTTAATTTTGAAAATGGGTATTTTGTGGTTTGGGGCACATTTAACTTAAGTGCATTTTTCACAAAATTTGGGGTTTGATACGTTGCGCAAATATCGTTCAACATAAAATTTGCAACAGATACTATTTTACAGGGTCTTTGCTTTCAGAAAATAATGTTTGGGAGTTTGAAGTAATTCCAAGGCCAAAAATGTAAATTATAACATGGGTGCAAAAAAAAAAATGCCTCTGTCATTAAGGGGGCTAAAATCAGAGTTTTATATATATATATATATACACACACATATACACACACATATAAGTGCAAAAAACAAACTATAGAAAATGTTTGAAAAGAGGAAAGGGGGTGTTCTGTAGTCCTGTCTTAATGCACTTCTCTGCACCGTCACCCTAGGACAGGAAGTGTGTAATAAGGATCAACAGGTGACCATAAAGGGTAAAACAAACATTAGAATTATAAGTATAATTATATTACGTTTTTGGGTTTAGATGCGTTTTAACTAAAGATGGGTTGCAACCCCCCTCACAGAATATTTATAGCGTAGCTCCACTTTTAAAGTCCAATTTCAGAAAACCCAACTATATATGTTTGCTATGTGTTGCTACTTAAACATACCTAAAAAGAAGTTGATATTTTTGTAACCTTTAAGCTGTTTTTGGTGAAGGTCTTTGTGCAGATTCCAAGCAACTCCGAGTAATCTGTCCTCAAGTTTGACCCTCTAATTTCAGACAGCTTCTCAATGACATACATTTCTAAGTTTTTAACCCTTTGTTATCTCATCGCTTTGTCCCCACAGGAAATGGCCCACAGACCTTACATCATAGTGCACTTTAGACAAAGAAGGCAGGTTCGCTAGACAATTTTTAAAGGGCACCTTTACAGACCAACATTTTTTTTAACAAAGGAATGTCAGCAATAATCTACCAATACACTTATGTAAGGTCAGCATAAGGTAATTAATGTACTGTCCTTTTAATTGCCAAGTAAACAAGGGACCATGAAAGTGTAATGATTGGGTGTGGCATCAGAGAGGAGTGTCAGTCCCGCATATCATTAATACAGTTACAGTAATGAGGCAAAGGAGGTGTGGGGAGAGGCGAAAGTCTGTTTGCTTCAAAGCACAATGGGACTTGGATGACTAAAGCCTCCAGAAACCAGTCTGTGAAG